ACACATCTGCATGATCTGCCATCTATAAAATTATGAAAGTAATTTAGGACCAGGCTTATGCTATTTTATTACATTTCTCAAGTACAGTAAAGATAACTGTTCGATTAACAAGTTTTTGTTCATATAACTTGTTAAATTGTTCAATTATTTTGAACCTCTTACACATCGTTAGAACATTTCGTAGGTTTGTCCAGTTTTCCTCCCTGAATGATGTGATTCATCACAGCATCAATCGTGAAATCGCCGTAAGGCAACTGAGCTCCCGTGTAAATCTCCCACATAAGTACCCCGAAAGCCCTAAAATGTGTCAAGCAGAAATCTGTTACGAATCGTTCTTAGGGTTTTTTTTTTTTCAACAACTGACATGTGTATGAATATTGCCTCTCTTGTTTTGTTTTTGAAATAATTTACTTTTCTGGTGGTATAACGATGCTTGTTCAAAATACTACATGTGGTATACTGTATTAAACTGAAGCAAATTATTAGCAATGTTTTTTTTTTTATATTTGTTTTTAAAACAGTTATACCATATATCTGTTTTGGAACTAAAACGCCCATTAAGCATTGACTCTGGTGACATCCAACGCACAGGCACTTTGCAAGTCCCTTCCTTAACATAATATTGTGTCCTAAAGAAACAAAACCAAATAAATTGTTTGAAATTATTGATTTAAAGAAATAACAATGATACAGTATGAGAATAAGAGCATTGAAGCTCAAAAGCTTATTGGAACTACACAAACTGGGAGTAAATCAAACGCGGACGTGTCATTGTTTAGCAAGCATCTCATGATCTGGTCAACCCCAAATGTGCTCATGTATCAAATTAACAGGGAGACATAAACTCCATATGCATGAAGACAACATCTAGAGATGATATTGGTCTGTTACTACACAACTTAAGAAAGGTAAAGACAGAAAAGCTGAAGTCATTAAGTTTATCATAAAAGATTTGTATATAAGATTGTCATTATATTTGTATAATATTCAGTATCCAAATATTTCCATTTCTATGTCTTCTGTGTGTAATTTTTTTTTTTTTTTTGGAAGTTGGGAGAATCGATTTTTTGATAATTCTACCGGAATGTAAATTTCACCAACAGAAAGTTCGGGAGCTAAAAGAGGCAAGATATGCATGTAGATCTCGTGCGTTTATCTTTGTGTCTGACGTCATGCAGTGGGCGGGGAGTATTGAAACTGACATGGGAGGCCACAAAAAAATTTAATATATTAGAAAACATTTTTAAATCTATATTTACATTTTATATTACAATGAAATGGAAATATAAGGAATCATTGTCTAGTTTGTTGGGTTCCCAACTATCGTTGATGCCCTGGCATTTACAACAAAATAGAAAGTGTTTCCTTAAATTATACAAAACAGACGATTCAGACCCGGTGGGTCTATTATTTCGTGTTCAAAGAGATATATTGAATCAGCATAAAAATCAACATGAACATTGTTAACTGATAAAACGTCGTCGATGTACTCTAAATGTCGAATTGATAATCTTAGCAAGAGACTTCTTTTCATGTGGAATTTTTTTTTAAAAATCCGCATCTGACATATGAGTACAAAAATAGGACTGCTAATAACGGGTCATGAAATTATGACACATGTGTATTGTTAGAAGACTATATCTAAAAACTAGAAATACTGTGAGCAATGAGCTCACTAAATGAAACCCTCCGCTTCCCATATGGTTACAATGACAAAGTCCATGTTTTGCCTTGGGAGACCCAAAATAAGTGTCGGATCAAAAAGTATATAAAATAGGAGGTGCACAATGATATTACATATATGGTTAATACATGCAATCTTTATAGGCTTATTTCTTCAATGATACCTTGTGCATTATTATATAAAGGTACTAAATTAAAGAAAGTCACTGTCCTATTTAGATAAAAAAATTCTTTGAATCAAATTAAAATTCTTACATGGTGACATCCCTTGCCATTCCAAAATCGGCTATTTTCACAACCACTTGGCTTTCACGTCGTGATATTAAGCAGTTCCTTGCAGCTATGTCCCTTCAAAACAAAGTGATTAATATTGAAATGAATTCAAATTTGTTACATCGTAGTACTATAGAGAGTGTTTTTTGTTGCATTCGTTACCTGTGGATGAATTTGATTTCCTCCAGATAAACGCATGCTCGACAAACATCGATTGCGAGCTTCAGGGAATGTGTTTGCGAAAATATGGTAGCAATTGACACCTAAAAGAAATGTGTCTATTAAACGTTTTTTTTCTTCCGTTTTTATACAATTTAAATATTACACATTTAAATAATATCTTACACCCATGACTCTGTGTTTACGAAGATGAGTTTTTAAATCTTCATCCATTAGTTCCAACAAAATAAAGATACGTTGTTGGCTTGTTGATATACCAAAGCATTGCACGATGTTAGAATGTCTAAGTTTACTGCAATAAAAACAACTTGCAATGAAAAACCTGTTCTTTCTAAATCTGGTTTGAAATTGTAGTTTAAACGAAAAATATCACGAATTTAATTAATATTTCATTTCACAACTCGAAAGTATATTTTCGTCCTTATCGGGCATAAAAGATGAGGTAGCTATTTTTAATGACAAGAATAGTATAAAAATCCACCAATAATTAACATTAAGAACTTGGTAGATGTGGAAATGCCAGTATTTTACTGTATTTAGTAACTAATAATGCTATAATAAATCATCTCTTTATAGTGTTATAACTACAATTTAAATGCTAATACTCTCTACATATTAGCAGTTATAGTTATATGCACTTATTTCTAAGTACAAAAAAAAAAAATTATCATCACAGTGTTAACAATGAATGTTTATTTTTCGTTTCAAAAAGAATATGAGGATATGAGTATTTTTTGGAAATTTCTAAAGCTTCAATATTTAGCAATATTCACTGACTGATTTTAACTTTTACAGTTTTTTCATACAGAAGGTACATATAGAGTGTTCTTTTTTTTTTTAAAGAAAATTCTTTCGTCATCTGTGTTCCTTGGAAAAATTAATTTAAAAAAAAGTAATTAGTGGTGTTTTATGGGAGAAGGGATCCCCCCCAAAAAGTCACAAAATCTTCACGAAGAATCCCATGTTTTTAATCCCATTCACAGGTATGTATAATTGTTTGTAAAATTGTTTTCAGATCATCACTGTTATCTTTACCCTTTTCATTAGTGGCTAACGCGGTGGACATTTCATGAAATGGTAAAAATTGCAGTATGTTTACTCTAATTTACCGGTAGATACAGAAACTTTCTTTGGGAATACTTGGATTTTTAACTTAAATTAGTTGCATGTATATGTTATTTAATTCATATACCAAGTGAAAATTAGGTGATTAAATTAACTAATTAGAATATCAGCATAATACCCAGATTTTCTTTAAAAGTGTTGGAATTTAAGAAAAGGTCGTGCTTGACTTTTGAGGAATGCAAAAATCATCTGGATATGCCAATAAAAGATATGACCAAAACGAAGAGCCTTGCAACATCAGATTTATTCATTATTTTAAATTTTCATGAAAGATCGAAGTATTTTTTTAAGTTTAATTAATTAAATGTGTTTTGATTTTAAAGCATTTATGTGAGCAGAAGGCTGTTACCTGTCCCATATTAAACAAAAATCTTATAAAGGGTATATATTATTGAATTATTTGTCTGATCATATTTTTAGTGAGACTGACAAATAAACCAATAGATCACACAACTCAAATCAAATTTATCGGAAAGATCTATCTTAAGAATGGCTCCTAAACCGAAAAATTCTACTTTGTGTTTGCGTATACTCAGAATATAAGCTTTCAAAATTATTTGAAGCTCAGACGAAATGCACATTTTCATTTCCTGATGTATAGATGCAATTAAAAAACGAATATTTGGGTACTAAGGGCAGATGATACAAACCGACTTTTGTCAAAAGATATGAAATTAACAACCTGAGTCATGTTTTAATGAGTAAAATAAATAAGTTTCACCGCGTAGTTTTCATTTTTTTATTCAAATTTTCACGAAAATGAAATTTGAATTGAAAAATATTTGAATAGATTAATAAGGATGGTCTCAGAGAGGCAGAATTCTGACCATCATAGAAGGTTTACAAATTCTTTATACATTGTATTCTAGAAATTTAAATATTATTTGCATCATTTTCAATGAAATTAGGCCCAAAAATATATAGCAATCCAGGCATCAATTTTTGGTTTGTGTCATCTGTCTTTAAATAAATATTGTACACATTGTTGATTTTGCATCAGATATCTGAAATATCAGACACTTTTTTCTTGTGATTGAGACTGTATTTCTCACATTTGTCAAACATGAGCAATATCGCGGCTTACCTGCCCATGAACTGGGTAGATCTGCAGATCAATCTTTATATGCCTTTATATGTTACTATAGTTCTGCTGTGCAGAGGGTGTTTTCTTACCATAATGTTATAGCTTCTAAAAGAAAATCCATTTTCTCCACTGCTGTCGAATAGGGTTTCAATTCCTGTAAGATTACAGTTTCTTTTTTAAATTACAAGAACGCAGAATATGGTTGCATTTTATTAAACACTATAACCACCGTTTACCTTAAGAGCAACTGGGGTTGATGTGGAGAGTATTTTGCCTCTCCTGACAATCCCAAAATGTCCATTGCCAATTTCCCTGTAAACAGTAAAATGATTTTCATTGAATGATATATACTCGAATGAAATTTATCTTTCTAAACTTAAAGGTTGCAAAAAGGTTGCAATTATTGTATTATACATGGCGCCTATTCTAAACCTTTTGAAATAAAAGAAAAATGAAGACATTAAAATATCTTTAAATTAACTAATGAGTGTAGTATTTAAAGGTTTTCAGTCTTCATACAGATGTTATTATAAATAGTACTTGTTGTACTTTTATGAATACCATCATGATAATATTGACACTATTCTGACCTCAAAAAATAAAAATTTTTATATCAAAGCTCGTCTTTGAGAGTATTATGAAAAATACTCTTATGCGCATAAGTTTTTCTTACGTTATATAACAAATTAGCCATGGCCCATTTAATTTAGATCATCAGCTTATGTAACAGTTCACTTACTCAAACATTTTTAAATCTTTAAAATGAAAATTGTTGATTCGCCCAGTGATGCATGACGATTTGTACCACGAATAGTTTGGGTTAGAATTGCAAATATTATCCTCTACAAGCCCTGTCCCGGATATGACGTCACAAATAGCACTTGTTTTCACTTCGATTGTTCTTTTTCTAAGATTTCTTGAAAACTTGAAAATTATCCCTAATTTCAAAATAAAATGAACCAGCAAATTCCTGCAAATTTCAGAAAATCGATTTTTTTTCCTTTAATCTTTTTTTGAAATTCTTATTTGATTAATTGTAGATAAACTTATATCTGGGTTGAGTAATAAAAATACATACCAAATATTAATGCTGATCCCAACGAAACAATGATTATACATGTAATCAATGCAGTATCATTAAATATTACTTTATAGGAATTTTTGTTACTTAAAATAGGTATTCTGGTGTCTTCTTTTGGATATCCTGGAAGAAATTTGACCACACCATTAATGATGATAATTTGTTTTTTACTTCAACATAAGCCAGTATATACATGATATAAGATACAACATTCCTGTCTCTAAAAACGTGCTTTATACCTTTCGTTGATTTGTTCATTATATTTGACAATTCACCAGTAACAAAATTCCCTGTGATAGTTCTCTTTATATCTTTTTCAGTCACCAAGACTGAAACAAAAAGTTTGCCAACTTCAATGTAAATCTTTATTATTTAATATCAAGGAACCCCTTTATATGAATTATATTACAGATTAAGAAGTTAATATGATAAATTCATTTACCCCTGAAGCATCCTGGTGACATTGAGACACTTGTAAATTGGATCTTGTCATCGAATTCTATATCCAACCATATGACAACTTTCAAATAATATCTGTAATTGGAATGTGATATAATTCTAATTTTAAGTAAATACTCTTGTTATTTATATTAATAGATGCGTGAATTGTATTTTTTCATACAGATGCATACTTTATTATTTTGTCATCCAGGAGAGGAAAAGAAAATGTTATTGTTTGTTGTCCTCTTTTTCTCCTAAGTTTATCCTCTTGTGTCTGGCTTCTCTCCTTGCCTATCAATTCTAATGTAACAGTTATTTCTCTCCTGTGGGCCAGTGCAGTGACATTGAATGCCACCTGAAATATTAACAAAGCGATTTCAGTAACGGAGACATACACAGCACTCATAATTAACTTAAATGTAATACTAATAAAGCTTAATTGTCGGGTACTCACTGTGCAGACATCATCATTTGATGTAACAGACAACCTTTTAAATTCTGTGGTTGTGAAATATGGATTCCTACAATACTCATTTTCATCGGTTCCATAGAGACTGAAACCTTTAATTAAAAAAAAAACGCATTATTTTGTAGAATTTTCTCTGAGATTCCCCCTACCAAAATCGATACCACATCCCTGCACATAATGTTAAGACGTAGTTATCATGTATATCTAATGAAAAATGTATTACAATAGAAATGTACCAGTTTCGTTAAGGAACAGTTTAAACCAAGAGAACAAAAACAACACTAATCTATATTATCTTTTAATTTGAAGTGACTACCTTTGATTGTAATAGAATTTATATTAAGAGAAAACACGACAGAGGATATGCATTCCAAAATGTCGAAAGATCACCTTACATTTAAGCAGAAGAGTATACACCTTGTTTGACGACGTTCATGGCCCAGAGCGTTCCAAGCTGTCTGTGTTTAACAAACAGTACTCTACTTCTTACATGCAGTGACTATTTTTTCGACATAGAGGAAAAACTATCATTGAATCTCATGCCATTTAAAAACAACTCCTCTATTAAAATCTAGTATGTAAATGTCTTTTCTGTACTCTTTTTTCCCGTCACTGATGTCTATAAAACACACCAAAAACATGCAATTTATTACATTTCCGTGCGTCGGTTATGCGTTTGACGCCGTCATTTTCATCAATCTCAATTCCAAAAACACTTTGAAAATCATAACACTAGTCGTCTGTTTCTAATACTATTTATCTGAAAATTGGACATATCATTAAGATTTTGATTCTAGTTTCCCTGTATCAAATTTGAGTCAATCTTTTACATAAAACCAAAGAAAAAAAAATCAAATGTAATATGCGTAATTTTCCCGAAATTTTGTTTATGCGCCGACAGACCATATCGGCCTTCATATAAATCATCCCGATATTATTAATATGAAAGATACATATTTAAGAATTCACAATTTTAAAGAACATTGAATGTATTATGTCTATGCAAAATTTGGTTAGTATAGGTTGCGTGTTAAAAAGTTATAAACATTGTCTACGACTTTTTGGGACAACCCTTGTATTTTTAATTCGGAGTTATATGTACATTTTATTTTTTTCTTAATATCTTTAAAATATTACCACTTTTGTCTCTTGAAAAAGGGCATTTGATATATCCCGTGTCCGCAAATAACCCGAGACAGGCAAAGGTATTTGATAAAGCACACACAAATCCCCTTGTGTCGAAACCTTTTGAACGAAAGTGAAAAGTGAATTTAGTATTCAATAATGATAAAATATAGATATATACGATAATCATTGAATCAATAGTATGTCTATTTAAAATGTGATTTGTGTTATAACAGGAAAAATTTCAGTAAATACATTATCATGAAATAAAACATATCAATATATGATTGCTAAAAATTCCATTTGATCATGACAGATAATGACTAGATTTTGATTCAAATTTCCAAATTGTTCATAGAAGTGTATTTATAAGAGAAAGATAAAAAAGTCCCTTACTTTCAAATTGGATAAAAATACGACCCAGGTTTTCCGAAACACATTTACTGTTGTTGAATTCCAGTGAAACAAATTCTTTTTCAAAAAGGATAACATCCATTTTAAGCCTTTTAATGCAATTCCGTGAT